GTAAAACATTTTTTCTTGCTTAAAATTACCATAAAAGGAAAATTTTAACAAAACGGACGTGATCAGGAGAGAGTTTTTTATTAATTGATTAATATTAATTTTTTTTTTCTTGATTTTACTATTAATTAATTATTTTATTTTTTTTTTCTTTTATAAATTTTTTTTTATTTTTTTTAAAAAAGTTAAACAAACAAATAAATGCAATTAGTTTTTCAAAGCAAAGTTACTTATTCTGTTATTAGAAAATATATGTTGATTTTTTTTTTAGATATTGTTTGACTCTTAAAAGTTATATATATTTTGATATCTTTTTTTTTGAAAATTTCTAAAAAGAAAATTTTTAAGAATTTTGATATTTGTTAGAAAAAGTTTTTTTTTTTTTTTTTAGAGACAAATCTATATATTTAATTGCAATATCTTTATATATTTGAATTATTATATATTTTTCTAGTTTTTTATTAAATATTATTTAATATTATATGGATTTTAATAAATATCTTTTATAATTTAAATAATAATTATTAGAAATTTTAATAAATAAACCAATTTTTTTTATTTTGTATCAAATTTGTTTTAGTAAAATATATATATATATATTAGTTTAATAATTATAAACTTACTTGTATTGCTAATCAATTATAATAAACAAGAGATTAATAACTGTTTTCGTTTTTTAAAAAGTTTATTTTTAAATAAACACAATTTATATTATAAAAAATCTTACAAGATTTTAATAAATTTTTTATATACGTAATACAATAATTAATAATTGATTATAATTATAAAAATTTAAATATAATAATAATTTCCATATTAAATTTAAATGTTGTATTTAAATGTTGTATTTAAAAGTAATGATTATTTTTGAATTGATAACTTTTTAAAAAAATTTTTATTTAATATATAAATCAAATAGAACTTCAACTATTTCAATAAAGTATTCTTATTTGTAAAATAATTAAAAGAACGATTCGATTAATATAAAGTTTTAGAATATAAAACTAGAATAATATCAATAAGATTATAATTTTACATATTATCGATTTACAAAGCAACTAATAATAATAATATTTTTAAAAATAGCTGTCATAAAAATAATATACGCATTAAAAAGGAAAAAAAATAAGAAAAGTATTTTAATAGATTAGATAAAGAAAAACAATAACTTGAAAGTTGATATCGTTAATATTCTCCTTACAAGTTTTATGGTAATGTAAAAAAACATTTCTCGGTAGCGAATCATTTTATACCATTGTTCTCATTGTTCGATGCCATAGTTTTCATTGAACAAAGGATTTTCCAAGCATTGTTTGTGTTTAATTTGCATAATCACGTGGCAATTGCTTCTTTCAGTAATTACCTTTATAAAAATTCCAATTTAGTCTATTCTAATTCTAAAAATACAAGGTAAACGGCTTATTACTGTTAAATTATTTGCATTTGCGTTATGTAATAGTCGAAAAAAAAATAGTATTCACTGTTGTCTGGAACAAAGGGTTTTTGTGGGACCGTCGTGCGACTTGCGTGGGTTGCAGGTCGCGAACTCCGGCTTCAACATTTCTAACATATTCATCTCCTTTATTTCCTTTTTAGGGCCTCTCTCGTTTATATTAAATACCATGTTTCAAAAAAAAAAGGATAACTTTTTGAAAAAACTTGTTCTTTTAGTTGGCAGTGCCGACTTATTAATAGAAAAAATAAAAAAAATAGGTTAAGATTACGGTCTACTGTGTCCTGGTGACCCACTGGATAGTTCCGTATCTTAAATTTTGGTGGAAGTAAGATAGGAACGACCTATGGGTCCTATCTTGGCGAGTGTCATATTGTTTTGTATTGCTGTTATAGTTTTGGTAAGAACTTTATCAATTACTGCTGTTAGTATTATTTAGCCATAGAACCGAAATTTTAATTTCCTACTTAAACACAGACGTATATATTGTTCGTGGCCACAGTCACTTTCTTGGGATTAAATTGTAAGTTTTATAAAGAGTTGGCGCCAACAATTTCTTTTCAAATCACGCATACTTAACCTATCTATTGAATTTTGTAGTCACTACATCTCACCTATCTCAACCTCTTCTGATCGGATATGCCGTGATTCTAGTGTTGTTATCTCCTGGTGTTTTCTCGGGAATATTTGGCGCTTATTACGTAATTATTCTTCCTGTTTGGAGATCGATCTTCGAGATTGGCAAATAGATGGCATATTAATCAAAAAATATTTATTTTTTATAAAAAGCGTACTGCGTCATTAGTTGATCGTTATGTGAAAGATTTTTACCTTACATTTTCCGTCATAACTATAATCGATGTTATAAAGATCATCCTTTCTTTTACGTGGAAAAAGCACTCATTAGAATCGTGTATCAACGGTTCAAAGTCAACACATGACGTAATTCAGGACTGTTATGACGCAATAGACTTTAACATCCAGGCAGGTCTTATAATCTTTGGAGCGCAGGAAGTTATTCTTGTAAGCATTTTTACTCTAGGGTTCTTTTTTTTTCACGAATCCAAATTCATGTCAATAATTTTTTTAGGTTTGTCTTGGAATTTATGCGCGCTATTGTGCCAAGAGAATCATACAGGAGTATAATGATAAGAATGATGTGAAAACAAAAAGATACGATTTGGAAACTCAAATGGACTTTTCCTCCACTGTACAAAGTGGAATTTTGGGACAGGAGAATAATATGAATCCTCAACTTAATGCTTTCCCATATACCAATAATTCTACGCAAGTAACTAGTCCAAGTAGACCAGAACCTGTGCTAAATAATATCCGAGTTGGATCTAGAAATAACGCGAATGATCTCGAATTACAAGATAATACAAATATTCGTGTACAAAATACTTCGACATCTGATCAACAATATGTGGCATCATTACGTTACACGTATCAAACTCCGAAACCTAATGTCATGTCAACGCCATTTCCTTTGTTAACAAGTACCCAAATGACGCCTGAGGCAAATTCACAAAGAGACAGGATTCAACCGGCAATGATCTCTCAAAGCACAAGATCACGTCGGGTGCCTCCTTCAGCCACGAATTTTGTTGATCAATCACAACTCCGAAGATTCCAACAACCATCAAGTTCTCAGCAACAGCAGGGACCGTGGAATCCAGTTTCCCAACAGAATTATTCGCAGAACCAGTACAACGACCAAGATATACGCACTTATAGACGCTCAAAGAGTCAACCGCAACTTCGTCCTCAGCCATTACCTTCATTTGGCAATTATACGGAAATTCCTCCAGTTCCGGCAATCCCAAAAGTTGTCCAGCAGCCGCCAAGGGATAGAACTACTTGGAATAATTCCCTTAGACAAACAAGTTCTTTACCAAACATATATGAAGTTTCATCCTCAGAGAGATTTACTGAAGGAGCTCCTGCAGTACCTCAAATCCCTCCTAATTTACTTAGAAATAATCAATTACAGCCTGTACTGGAATCTAATTACAATGGTGCCCAGAGCGCACGATATGAAATATCCATTGGACAATATAATCGAGATATTTCATCGGTAAGACAGTCGTTTTCGAGCGAGTATAATGTCCCCCTGGTCATAAAGATAAAATCAAGACAATCAAGGCCTATCACGGGTGCAAACCAAACCTACAATAATATGCTACCTCCGTCGCAATCCAGAGGTAGTTCTAATAATTTAATTTTAAATGGTCCTGATCAATGGATGGCCGATAATGGTACGATGGTAACTCCTAATAGCAATTACAGTCAGCGGCGTTATGAACAAAAGACTCCAAAATCCAAGCAATATTATTAGAGCAAGGACTATTTTTATTAGAAATTTTTATTTGTGATGAAAAAACATAGTGTAAATAATGACGGGTGTGTGCTTTGTTTGGTAAGGCACCTATTTGGCGAAAATGAATCCACATTGTGAGTGAATCCTAACGTAGATTTTTAATTACATCCATTAATCTTACCTTGTATAATTTTCGTATTATATGTAATATTTCCATTGTATAGTGGGTTGGCTGAATGAGATATGCGTAATTATTTGTAATAATGGCTTATGGTTGACACCAAATAAAAAAAGAAAAAGGAAATCGTAATCTTTTCTGCAAATTTTAATTAAATAAGAAACTTTCAATAATCATAATCGATTCTTGCTACCTTTCAAACCCAATGGTATTAGCCATTTAGCTCAAAACTAACGCCGCATCTGTAAATCAGAAAAGTTACCTATCATGCATCTATCCAATAATGACACTTGTTTCACTTACCCACAACCCGAAGAAGCCTGGGGATTATTAACAACTTGAAATTGCGATCCAATTAGTTCTTCTGTATAATCTATTTTTGAACCTTTGACCATCCGTAAAGAAACTGGATCCACAACTACTGTTGCACCATTATTTTCAAAAACCCTATGATATTGAAAGAATTAATAAACATTCGAAAATTTTTTCATTGGAAAACGTGTGCAAGCTTACACGTCATCCTCCTTGAAAGAAGATTCATCCGTTAAATCGTAGAAATATTGAAATCCATGGCATCCTCCAGAATCAACAGATATTCTTAACGCAGCATTGCGATTGTTCTCTGTTTTTGCTATATTTTTAAGTTGCTATAAAAAACGATAATTGTTATCTGCGCGGTAAAATATTCACAGTTTTCGAGATGATAAAAATTCAATTACCTTGGCAGCCCGTTCTGTAATCTCAATGCTCATATCTTCTTGTGGGTTACGTTTGACGCTTGTAACATAATTTCTTCTTATATCAAATTCGGAAGTTTGAATCATTGGAAATTTTAATTTATTTGAAGTCGGATAAGAATTATTGTTACTTTCATGAATATTATTATCACCAGTAGAAAAAACATTGTTCGTTATCCTCGTGACCGTTCTATTTGCAAAAGATCGAGCAAAATTGCTACATCGTTGAACAGTGAAGGAGGTAGCCTGAGCTTTGGGAATAAACAAAGATCTTTGGAGGTTCGAAAACATTACAAAGTGACAATAATTTCAATTTAAATGTAAAAAAATAATATACAATAATTTTATATTACATATATGTATTTTATTTTTTAAATTTAAAGAGTTCAAACTATTTAACAATTTTTTTTTATAAACTTTTATACTACTTTCTTTTTTTTGTTTTTTCTATTTTCCTTTTTTTTTTTTTTTATAGTTTTGAAAAAAAAAAAACAGATTTACTTATTAATAATTAGATTAAATATATTTAAAAAACTTTTATATATCAAAATTTTCAAAAAGTTATATTTTATAATATTCAAATAATAATAATAATTAGTATTAATATAAAACTTCTATATATATTATGCTAATAGTTGAAATATCTAATAAAATAATATCTAATAATTAAATATTCTGATTGTTTATATAACAAAATTGATAATAATAATAAAGATTTGTTTTATTACTTACTTTTTAATAATATAGATTATTATTATTATTATTATTATTATTATTTTAAGTAGGTAAACATCATCACTTTATTAATCATAAAATTGTTTAAAATCTATATATGAAGAAAGCAACAACATCTCTTATATAACTTGCTAAGCTAATAAGTCTAATGCTAGCTTGCCTATAGAAACCATCTAAGCAATATAGAAAATAAATATTAAAACCAATGTATATCTAAGATAGTGTTGAGCAGTTATAAATATCTACTCAAGATTATATGAAATAAAATTTAAGAAAATATAAAAATAAAAAAAGAAAACACTGGACAAAAGAAAAATAACAAAAAAACTAATTATAATATAAATAAAGCCTAATATTGCTTTGATGGTTCCACTCCCTGAAATATTATTACACTTTTCAGAATAACCAGGTTATAGCTTATAATATATAATAGTATTGATGATATGTTCTTTTGATAGTCATTTCTTGAGTCATTGTTGGTAGTGGTGATAGTATGGTTGTTTATGTTTAAATATTTGGTAATGATTAAAAGAAAAGTGAAAAAAAACTAATTATTATACAAAGGATGTCTTGGATTAAGCACACTACACTGGTTAATCCATTTAACTAAAGTAGGATGCTACTTTTAGGAATGGCCAGACTACTGTTCAAAGTAAATAATAGTATTATTAATACATTATTTAGATTATATATTGTTGTAATTGTTAATATTTTTGTTAGTATATTGATTGGTTTATTTTTTGATAATGTAATCTTGTTTTGATTACATCAGGAAATTTTTTTGGTAGAAATCTTTGGAGATCTCCATCCAAAAAAAATTCAAAGGTTTTTAAGAATTTTTAATATAGAATTTTTTAAAATAAAAAAACTTCGGAAATTTTTATTTCAAAAAAATTTAAATTTCTTTGAAGTAATAATAATTATTTTAAAATAAATAATTATTTAATA